TTCAGAATAACAAGACACAAATCAATGAGGCTGAAGTCCATTATGCAGAACATTAGGAACGGTTTACAACTGCCACACATATAAGACCAATTTTTATCATTATAAGTGAGGCAGGAGTTCAAAGGACGCATGTTATTTCAGCCTACAGCTCCAGAAGGCAGTCGTGAGAAGCAACATTTTCACTTCCCTAGAAAGAAAGTGGTGACAGGATCGGACAAAGCGTGAGGCATCGATTGTGCAATTGGCCAAATGTAAGCAACAAAGGGTTAGTCGAGTCCCACAACGCAAATATTTAGGTCTAGGTAAAGGAATAAGTCTGACTTAAGGCATGAAAATATAGTGAATAATAGGAAAAAAGTAGTTTAACTTTTTTTATAAGGCTGCTCCCAATACGAAATATTTATTAAACACAACATTGTAAAGTAACATAATTAATTTGATACGATCAAATTAGCAACCTGGTAGAGAAATTGTTAGTACTGAAAAATCACAAAGTAACAACATTTGCGCGAAGTCAGAAATCACGACGACCCTTTAAACCTTGCGGTGCCATTTACGTTCGGAATCAATATCTCTAGTAAAATTTTCCACATGTAAGCAATATTCAATTTCAAAATATGAGTATAAACATGTCCTCATATCACTAAATTAGTATCAAGGTGCACAACGACGGCAAACACCCCACATAGGGAAAAAACCACAAAGAAAGTAGTTCAGTGTTTCGACACTTTCTGGGTCACAACTCCGTAAATTTTACAGGATGTGATAACTTTCTGTGAAATGAAAAAATAGCAAAGGCCTGAATTACCTTGACCATTACGACTGTGGTGCTATTTAAAGGAGAAAGGATATTTTACTAATAAGTCAAAAACTATAGTTATTAGTCAACAGAAAGGAGCCATTAGCAATTTTCAAACTACCAAATACGACATAAGCAGTATGCGGTGATAACCACGTAAGTTCAAAATAGAGCACCTGTTGAATTCGAACAAACCAATCGGTCTTTGTCCGAGATATGAAATTTTACCTTCAATAGTTTTTGAAAAGTCTTCGCTATTGTCCGAATAAGGAAACAGGTGTCAGGGTGGAGAGGTTGTTCCAGTGCGAGTAGGCCCGCATAAAGCCACGTTTCCTTCAACAAATAAACGCGTTCACACAACTATACTGAATGAGGCTCCTCAGTGGTTGACAAAAATACCTACATGATTACTATCCCATTTGCTGGAGGACGTGGGAAGAAGAACTTCCAGTAGTTTGACAACATTCGCCTGGTGCAATGAGGTTGATGGAATACATTAATTTACCTGGGACAAACCAACAAAGTATGAAAGCTTCGGCTGATGCGTTGCTAACCAGTTACGACAATCATCAACGGAGAGGACAGAAATCAGGACATTCTAGAAATAAGAAGTAGTGGGAAGCGTAAATTGTAATGCAATTTAACGTCGTCTGCCATCCAGTCAACTTGATTTTGCCGGTCCCATATGCTTTGAAATACGTGAAGCATCATACAATAGACGGACGAAAGCACCAACCACAGTGTATGGTCAGCACAACAACAGCACAATAATGAGCAGGTGTTTGGGAAATCTATTGAGCTGCGTGTTTGGGGAACCAAGTAAACTTAATTTTGCTTAAGAATGGAGGGAAAGACCACAGACAAATAAAAAATGAGGGGTTGACCACAATCCCGTCCTGAAATGCATAAAATAATAAAACAGCTTATTAAGGTTGGTATTACGGTCTGCTATTGGGATATGCTTGAGTATCAACATCCAAGTAACTAAACCCAGTAAGACAGACAGCATATGGGGAAGTGTGAATATATATGAAATGTCACATAAATTGTGTGCATTACACATGCTTACGAATGAGTGAAAACTTACAGATGGAGACATGAAAGAATCCCAACAAAACTTTTGTCCTACAATATTGTAAAAGTCCTACATTTAAGCTAAATACAATAATGTATGTACCTTCTTTGAAAGTCGGAAAAAATTTGCATAAGCACGGTGAAAACAGTTGGATGAACACAGGTGGGGATTCCGTGACACAGCAAGAGTGGAAGCTTCGTTCTACTTGTACTATGAGTCACTAAAGAAACAAACCTTAGCCTCGTCTTTGTGTTCAATGTGGAAAGTAAGCGTTTCCGGTAATTTTGAAGCCTCCAATCTAATGTAAATGTGAAAGTGTAAAAGGACTCAGTTATTACCGAACGTGTCGTAAATAATCGTTTGCGCATAAAAGAAATTTTGAAGCATCTGGGGGATCGATTTCATCACATTCGTAGACAGGTAGTGCTTGTTGCAAAAGTTCGTCATCTGAAGAATGGTCTAAAGATGTGTACATGTCATTCATTGAACAGTGAAGTCGTTGTATAACTATGTAGTATAGTGTGTGGTGTGGTTTGGTGTGGTGTGGTGTGGCGTCGGATCAGGGCGCAGACATGTTGGACCACCTGGCCTCAGCCAATCCTGTGTCTCTCTGCGATCCAATGGCATGCGGGAAAGGAAGGCAGCCAACCAGAGAAGGACATGGATGAGATGCAGTATATAATGAGCGGCGTGGCCAGCGTGGTGGACTCGGATGGAAGGCGCCTGACGCCTGGCCCTGGCTTCTGATTGGTCAATGAAGCCTGTTATGTTGTACCAATCTACTTCCTATTAGGGCTCGGGTATTCTACATTGGTGGCAGCGGATGCGTTCGAATAACGCGAATCGAACCCCAGCCCTTACTCTTCAGTGGTCAACACAGGCAATAGACCCTTGAATGCCAGCTGAAATTGTCATGGCGTTCATCCGATGTCCAATAAAGTGGATCCATAGACATTGCCCGGGATTAGGACTACTGCATCTGAAGAGGCATTGGTAACTCAGCGACGACGACTTGGACAGTGGAAGCCAGCTGGACTGCATCTGCGAATGGACCTACGATGGATGAAGCGTCCTTCCTGCAAGTCTATAAGAGCATAGTCCCTCGTCAACTATTCGAGTGGGCCACTATCCTGCCAGATGTGGGGTGCGGGGAGTGTCGAACTGGATATTTTATCAACACTGGATATCAACAGCACTGCGGTGAACCAAGCCAGAAGCTGAGGACAGCTTCACTCCTAAGGGGGAGGCAGTGTTGCGACGTCTAAGGGCGCAGACATTTTGGACTGTAGCGGATTAACAGCGATCGAGCCTGAGTGAACCCTGGTTACTGACCTGATGGTGACAATGACTCATCTCCCTTTCATTTGTTAGTGCAATACACTCATGTCATCTGTTCACTCATGCACACACTAAGACATACTTGGTAGGCGTGACGCTAATAAACGGTCGTGTTCACTGTCGCCTCTCTTCTCGTCAATCTCAGGTTGTTACGGGCTGTTAACTAGAAGGCTGTAAGGTAGTGCTTAGACCACAAGCCACTACAGGACTACCTGGCCTCAGCCAATCCTGTTTATCTCTGTGTTCCAACGGTATGCGAGGAAGATAACCAGCCAACCAGAGAAGGACACGAATGAGGTGCAGTATATAATGAGTGGTGTGGCCAGCGTGGTTGACTTGGATGGAAGGCGCCTGACGCGTGGTTCTCGGTTGTGATTGGTCAGTGAAGCCTCTTCTTTTGTACCAGTCTAATTCCTTTTAGGGTTCGGATATTACACCGAGGCGACGTCTGAGAGTGTAGACATATTGAATTACCTGGCAGCAGCAAATACTGTGTCTCGCTGCGTTTCGATGTCATGCGAGGAAGATAAGAATCCAACCAGAGAGGGATACAAGTGAGGTGCAGCATATAATGAGCGGTGTGGGCAGCGCATGGTGTGTGGTTCTGGTTCGTGATTTTTTAATCAAGCCTGTACCATTGTGCCAGTTTTTTCACAATTGTGCTCGGGCATTCTACAAGGGAACTTTAATACCACACTCGGGTGCAGAAACATTGGATCAAACCGGGCTTGGTTAATACTCAGTCTTTGTGCCACTAAAATAGCCGATGTCGTAAATCAGCTAACAACCAAGTATAAACGAGGAAAAGAATCATCGTTTAATTGGTGGCGAAGACATTTATGCGCTCACGTATGCATAGATGATCAAGAGAGAATTATACGTATAGGCCAAAAAATGATGATTTTGTGATTGATTCACGGGCAAATTGACGTCATCAGAAATGTTGAATTTTGTGCCAAATAATTTCGTTGAAAAATAGATTTTTTTGTGTTTTGCACGTAGGAATAAACATGTAGGTCAAAGATACTTCGTTGGAAACACCAGCCGTGGGTACTTTAAAATGAATTCGCTGTGCTTTTTCCAAGGTATGGAGAGTAATTTTTGTTGTTGGCATTCTGTCGCCAATCGCATGAGGTCAAATATTAGTCAAATGGCTAGTAAATCCGATGTTCAAAAATTCAGCCAGTCTAAATTTTTGCCTGCACAATGATTATGTATCAACAAAAACTTCTAAGCAGTTCGAGAAAAAAGCAAACGTGCGTTAAGAACGTACTACTTAGGTAGCCGTTCTTGAAAAATCAGGTTTATGAAAATATTATAGTGGTTTAAAAGCAAATATAAAGATTAAGGTTCTTTAATGAAGTGCACTCCCCTTATAGCACAGTAAATGGACTTAAAATTAAAATTTAAGAATACGCATAAAGTTTATTTAATTCCTCCATCGTTTAACCAATGGTTTACTTAAAATAGCATTTTTAACGCTTCAGTGTCTTTTTTGATTTACTTAAAAAATTCCTTTTATATTTAACCAAGAACCATTGATGAGCAATTAGTCGTGTTTTAGTCAATAGTCTAAAGCACGCATGATATAAATTTGGCTCGTTTTCACGATGTCTAGTAATTCGAAGTGAGTTGTTAATGTGCCATGCAGTCTAATGAACGCTCCCACTTTAGTCACTCCCTGAACCATCACTCAACTCATTTATCATGTTACGCCTTCTTTTCCTTCGTTATTACATTTATTATAATGGTTTGCTTTCCGTTTCTGATATATTTCTTTCAACCAAGGGCTTGTCAGTATCGGTTTCTGGTCCGTCTATGGTATTTCTTGAAAAAATTTCGTACACTTGGGAGGACGAAGTTGCGTTGATTTTTACCGGGCGCTCTGTTGGAGCACTGGGTGGATGGCTTTTATCTATCGCTATTTTAGAGGATAAACCCGGTTATTGCAGTGGCCTTATTGGCTTCAGTCTATTTGGACTTACCTTCGTTAATTTTGGTGTAGCGTTTTCTCATCATCTTTGGTGGTTGATGGCTGCCTTTGCCTTTCAAGGTTGCTTTCTGGTAGTTGCTGCTCAATGTAAGACTCTTAATTGCTTTGTTTTTTTCTAATTTGTCGTTATTTCGCACCATATCAAGCCATTGAGACTAAATATCTTATGCCGGACACAGTTAATATTTTCCAGCACATTGTCTGGGTGTCACAATTTACATTTGGGACTTTACTATGTGAGACCGATCTTATTGTCACTAATTTGTAAATAGTTTTATGCTACCGCGGGGTCCTTTTGACACTGTTAAAAGAGTTGTTGTTATTATTACTGTCGATATTAGCTTTTAGAAGATATGGTTTATTAAGAAAAGTACTAGCATATTCGCCTCAATGAAAACGCTAGTCACAAGTACTAAATATCATGGTTAAGAAGGTGAAACAAGTTTTTTGCTTTCAGCTTGTCTTGTCTATGTTCTCAAAAATGTATCATCCCCGAAGCGCATGCATCAAATCCTAATATTCTGCAGTCTGACTGGCTGCGCACTCACTCCTATTCTTTTGATTCCTCTCACTTCTCAAGCCAAGTTAAATAATGGACCTGCTGTTGTTCCAATCACTAAAGAAAACTCATCTTTTGACCGTACGCCCATATTCCGTGCTCTTTTTCGCCCTACACGTTTGGCGGTTAACGATAACCCCAATCTTGTCGAAATCCCTATGTCAAATCACACAATCTCTGAATATAATATGAGCATCGGAAATACTACGTCGCAGCCAGCTGCACTCTCATACAGAGAAACTACTGGAATTCCTTCAACATCAGAACGTCCCCAGCAGACTAAATTAACCTCTCTTTCCTATGCACCTCCAGCAAATGAATCGTCTGTGTTAAAACCTCTGGAAGAAAATGAGAACTCTACAAGTACACAACTGAATGTCTTATTAAATACATCAATATCTGAGAAGGTGAACTCTTCTACCACGTCTAGGGAAGAAAGACCGATGAAACCTTCTGTTGTAGATGCAGAACACTTGAATCAGGATAGCAAGTCAGCAGATGGTAGTAATCCAGCTGTGAAAATGAAACAAGCTGATGGTGATGTTAGATTAAGTGAAGCAGAAGAGCCAAAACTTTTAGATGCTGCTGAAGGTGGAACGATGAAGAAACCTTCTGTAGTCGATGCAACTCATCTTAGTCAAGACTTTAAGACTGCAGACGGAAGTAGTACTGCAGACAAGATGAAACAGGTCCATGAAGACGTTCATGAAACCGACGACGAACTGTCGCCAATCGTCGTGCCGTCCCTTGAGCCGACACATAACGCTTCACATTCGGCTGCAAACGACTCTACGATTGCTGAGGTGACACCTATCATTAAACCTTTAGCGCCGTTTGTGAAAGCCAACTCTACAGGAACACCTCGGGACTTAGTTGAAAATCCACGAAAGCTAAGATCAAATGATTCTTACCGCCTTACCTCTTCTTACAATAATATATGGAACAGAGGGTCTCCTCGTCCCTGGAATCACGAGCTTACTCGTGAGCAATGCATAAAATCAGTTCGATATGTTTATTTGTCAGTCGGCCTGCTGACGCTGATTGCATGGTTTATTTTACTTCCATTAACTGGATTTTTCAAGCACGTGCGTCTACTTTGCAGTTGCTTTAATGACCACTCCTGTCTGCAACGCACCTCCCTGGTTCAAAATCGTTATCACGAAGCTAGTTTTGCTGCATCGGCGAACGATGATAAAAATGAAAGTGGTATGTATCGATTGAATATGTACCTGTTTGTAATACTGCAAAATTGATTGTTATTATTCCTACTTCGCATACATGACATAGAACACGATGATGAAACTCCACAACCTGGCACCAGCTGTCTAGTTGAAAATGGCTCGAGTCCACCCCCACAAGGAGCAAAAAATGTAACCTGGAACGCCAAATTAGCAGATCGTCATCTCCAAGGCCAACCAGTGTTCCGTGTCAGTGAATCCGTACCTAACTTTGCTGTTCTTCGCTCTGTCCGTCAGCACCAAGCACATCATCACCGGCATGCCTTGGAATCTTCTGGCGTAGGGGCAAATGAGGTTTTGGATACCCCAGAACAATCAGTTTATTTAAATTATGCACCGGAACCTACGGTCTGGCCCTTGATAAACTGGCCAACAAACTTCTGGCTTCTTGCTGCAGCCTTTCTCTTTGCGGGTTTTGAGACAACATACGGGGCTTTCCTACACAGCTTCACCTTGAGAACTCTTCACTGGATACCGGTAAACTGATCTTTTTAAGTTATTCTGCCATCTCATTGGTCTTGCTTAATACATCACGTACGAGTTCCCTCTCTCTCTACCGTGGCATCAAAGGTGTGCCTGCCTCATACACAATTTGTTTCCCTGTGTCATTTTCAGTCACTGAGTATTGATGCATGCCTGCCGAAACACTTACAAATACCCTTAACAACTTTTTTTAAGTATGCACTCAGTGAGTATTGTGAAAAGTTGACCGGGTAAACGACGCCTGTCTGGATTGCCATGAAATTATGTTGGTCCAGGAACAACACTGTTTTAGTACATTTACTTAGTTTGCATTTCCACAAGGCAATTTTCTTATCGTTTCTTTTCCTAAACCAAATTTATGGGTGCATGTATTAGTCAGAGGACTGTAGAGGGTCAAAATGCCTCCTAAATCTGTGTGTTCTGGTGTTTTTGTATACAAGTGTTGAATGTGGTCATGCTTGAATGGCGTGAACAGCGCCGGCGCCTCACCACGTTACTGGATCATGTCACCCTTTCGTGGTAGGAAATGCGTTGGCTTGCCGTCCTTTGCCTTTTCTCTTATCCACATCCGTACGACTGGGTTCATCCTTAATAGTTACTGATTTCTTGTGAAGTCCAATAAGCTTGTTTATTATTCTTAAGAAAACCCAATCATAAGGTCATCTGTTTTAATCTGGAATTTTTTTAATTTAAGCAACGGTAACTCAGTTCAGTCTTCTGGTTTATTCTGTTTATTTGCTATAATTGACTTGTATCCCAGGGGTTTAGTGAGTAAACTTGTCTTGAAACCTTGTCGCTAAATATAATTCCCAAATAAACTTTAACAAAAAGATCCACCAGAGACTGTCATTATTACTACGACCTTATTACCGCTAAATGCTTTTGCACCTATCTTCAGCCGTGCTTTCCAAGTTGTTTGTCATAAGCACCATATCCCTGACTTTGTACCACTCCTTGAATTGGGTGCTTCAGCGCTGCAACATCGGTCATCAAAATGCTTCTAAATTCACAAATAGGCCGATGTATTAAAGTCACATGACCGTGACTAAAACACTTTTATATCGATATTTAAGTTGGGAACGACGAGTGATTCCGCTTGTCTTGCAAAACGTCTTATTAATGGGTGAAATTCGCCTTTATTAATTGAATTTATCCGCTATCCTGCTAAATAACTGTCTCAGTTTGGCACACTTTTGTCATTGTGGGAAACCGAAATTCATTGTACGAGCCCACTAATAAGGTATTAACCAACTCTTATTTCCCAACTCTTACCTGTTTAGAGTGATGCCTTGTGGGTTACGGCGATTTATTGGGGAGGCAACGCGATTGGCCGTCTTTGTTGCCTTTGTTTGGGTGCCAAATCAGACATGGGCATTTGCCTCCTTCAGAACGCTGTCAGCCTGCCACCACCCCGAGCAGTCGCACCAAGCAAGTAAGTGGCATACTTCCACTGGAACCATTTGATGCCTACGACTTTTGGTAGTACGCTGTGATGGCACTCACTTCGGTTTAAACACTCACACTGAGTAATCAGTACTAGCTGGCGTCGCAAACACGGTGGTCCTTTCTAATCAGCCCTCTCTCTCGAAGTACTTCCTGAATTTTGGTTGGTTGTGCTTGGTAACAGCAATTCGTGGTAAGTACCATGTGGGTGCCATTCTACAGTTAGTTCAAAGTAGGTCTTGTAAGTCTGATCAATCTTGCAGGTTCGCGACCGTCACAGGTCTTACTTGGCCGTGTTTAAAGGGATCACGTCGGAGTCACCAATTGTTGAAAGTCCCGGCTTGTGGCCTCGAACCACACCGAGGTCGCCGCGTTGAATTTCGCCCGATCACCCTGTACTGATACCCACAAAGATCAAGAAGACGGGAGATGGCGGAGACAACCACTTATTAGACAGTTCAACCTAGTCGTGTTAGTCGCGCCACTGCACAAAAAAAGTCCGTGACGGAATAATGATTGTTTATCAATACAGTCTGGATGGACCTCTAAAAGTGCAAATGGCTGGACGATTAGATGAATTAAATGGGTAGCGTGGCGGAGGTGTACTCAGGGGTATATGAGAAGACGGTTTTGCAAGGTCGATAAAGGAGGAGATCAGCGTGGCGGGGTATGCGACGACCGAGTTAGTGGATGTGAATTAACACTATTTACTACACCTGGTTTCCATCTCCGTGCCTACTCCCCGATGAACTCTAGTGCTCGTGACTATAGTAACCCCAGTCTATTTGTGATTTTCTATTGACGTTTCTAGATAGGATCCCATTGTCGTCGCCAGTGATGTGGTATTTCAATAACTTATCACAGTAGTATGCTTACCTCATTAAATATGTATAATTGTCTACGTAGGACTTAAATTTCAAAGACCAACTGTAATCTTGGATCCTTTCAAGCCTGGTTACAGTTTCTTAAATTGCAGGAACCATTTCCTGTTTCCTAAATCACCCATGGCGCCAGCTTAACTCAGACAATAACTTGTTCCAAAGTTAGAACCAAAATTAACCTCCTTTTAATCTATACTTCAGCCATAGACGCGAAAAAATTGTCCGAACCGCCGCGCTTTGCTTCCGTACAATGGGCTCTTTGATCTGTCTCATTTGCGCCATCCTGTTGAATCAGTTAACTTCAGCTCGTATAATATATTTTCACCGACCCCAGTCGCTGAGCTTCAGACTGCTCGAATCATTGAATATCTCCAGAGACCGCGCCACCTGGATGGGGACCCTTGGTCTCGGTTTAGGTCTGGGTATCACAGCAGGTTCAGGACTGAACGTATACAACTCTCTTGGCCGTCGGCTCTATCTCGCTTCGCTGCTTGGTCAATTGACCGTTCCGGCAACCGCTGGCTACCTCACTGAGCGAATGTTACACAAAAACGCCTCCGAAACTCTGGGAAGAACGGCTGTAATCCTCTCTTTCTTCATGTTTCTTTGTTTTCTCGTTGATTTAATTCTGCGTGTTGCTCGCCGTTTTGCTTGGTGGAAGATACTCACCGACTGGTTGTCCTGTTTCCCAGAGGCTAATGAAGGAACTGGGGTCAACGAGACAAATGTTGGCGTCAGTGGAGACGTCAATTTAAAGACCTTTTGTGAAGGTCCTTGGAAACCCCTAACTTCCCCTCTGGTTGACGCTAAAGAGACTACTAAAAGGAATAGTTTAAACACTTCAGGGAGCTAATTTACCTATTTTGATTTTCCTCGGTTTTTGATTTGTTTATTTAATCATGCGAAGACCTCTTAAACACAATATTATTTACTCGGCTGATTTTTTTATCAATAGTGAGTGGATGCAGGAGGTAAGAGGTTATGTATTATGCAAGGTGGCTAAAACCTAACGTGAATAGAGTGGTCTTTTGGGAATATGGTGCGATGTGCCGATTTTATTCTGGACTATCTCACATCCAATTAAAAGTAACAAATGCGACCTCGGGGAACTCGTCGCTGCACAATCCCAGAGATGAAATTAACTTCGATCGGTGGACTTATGAATGCTAATAGCCACCTGTTTTATTCAACAGATTCATCAGAGATCCACATATCTCAAGACTTAAATCTCAGCCCGATTGTTTTAGAGCTACGTGATGCTTGCTTTGGACTTGCTCACCGTAGTAATTAAAATATGAGTTTCAGACGACTTCAGTATTCTAAAGTGTTAGATTTCAACATTCGTAACATAAACAACACCTCGTCAGGATGGCCCGTGTAAATATGCAATCATTTTGTCTCTTGTGAGCCTTCGACACCCTGGCGAAAAATCTCTTAAAACTTGCCACACCCTGTTTGTTTATTCACATTTTTCACGTCGGACGCGCGTCAAACTCCCACATCTTGTGGTTTAGATTAGTAACAAGATCAGTCTACCTCATGGTGGTCATCCCGACCAAGTTTAAGTAGACAAAATAAAGTGACATGCTGTTTAAACGTCCGAACGTAGAGTCACCCATTAATCAGACGTATTTGCATTTTTTCGGCTTCAGAACGCAAAACCTGTCCTTATTGAATCGACTGGTCCTCATACTGAATTTGGTTTAGTTAAATGTTGAGCAGAGCTGTTAAAGTCGGGAGTCACGCTACTGTAGTATTTCCGTGGTCAGTGCTAAACGATTTTGAATATCGGCTTTACTTGACCCTGAACATATGGAAACCTCGAGAACCATGAAAAACCGGCTCCCGTAAGAGGTTAATTACAGCTGCGACATTTTGAAGTAATACTAAGACCCTCAATGCCCAAACGCATAGTGCTTGCTCAAACCATTTCGGCCTGCTAGCATTCATGCACGACATGATCGTACCGAAATTTGGATTCGTGTGAAGTCAATAACAACTACTTTAAGGCTGTAAATAAATTATCATCGTCGTATTGCTCACTATAGTTGCCCGCGTACACCAAGCACTTTATTAGATCGTCAATTATAACAATCGAGTCCAACTAGTGAAGAGGAGTTGGGTCGTCTCAGGCTCTCGCTTAATCGGATGATTACCGAAGTGTTAAGAGCAAATAATGCTTGAAGGCGCATATACCCAATTTATTAAACAAAATTGCCACTTCATCCATGATCATCGATGTGATAAAACGACGATGCAAAACGTGCGAAGTCGAAAACAGACATCCCAAATGGTTGTTAATGTAATGTATGGCTATCACAAGTACCGGTTTCACCGAGAAAACTGGGTGTGCTGGAAAAATTAAGTAGGAAAATGGCGAGCTCTTGGGAGTTGTGCGGTGGCTGTGATTCGAAGCATAAAGAAACGTAAAATCAAGCAACATGAGAGGAGAAGATGAACCTGACGTTATGCATGTTGCAATGGTATGAAATGCAGAGGTTTCGCTGGGCGTGGGAGCTTGGTAGGAATAAGAATTGCATCGGCTTTTGACAGAGGGAGTAGGTACGATAGACTGTTATGCACTTTAACGGACCCACACACAGCCAGTACTGGGACCAAGGAGTATGAGAAAGTGAGTGGGGTTATAGGAGGGCACAGCACCGACAGTAGCGTCGCCGGCGACCAACAGCTGATTCGGGAGGGGTTCCTGGAGCAAAGAAGGCCTGGACTTTAAGGCGCGGATTCTGTTGCTGAAACAAACGTAATAGAATAGCCCGCCTTGAAATTCATGGGAAACAAGGCCCTCATTCTCCAATATCAAACATCTCAGACACGGCTAGAGGACTTAAAAAATATGCCACGTCAACAAATCCGAGGATTGGTCAATGGCATAATCAATGCCTAATGTCCGATAATTGCAAGACTATCTACAAAAGGCTAAGCAAACTGTGCTTGCGTCACTTCAATATGACTGATATCCATAAATCAGGATGTAAAAGACATGTTGGACCACAGAGGCCTCAGGGCCCGTCTCTTTGCCAGATTGTTCCCACAATTATAATTCATTAAAAGTGTCTTAGGAGTGGGGACTTTGCTCACCTTTAGATTTTCGATACCCTGGCGTGTTATAAGTTGACAGTCATAAAGGTCAACCTGACACAAATTCTGGCACACCGAGCCGAGCATTTCGAGTGAGGAATCTGTCAAGAGGGGGCAATTGTCCATTGCTAACCGCTGAAGTTGCTGAGGGCCGCAAAGACCTCCAACAAGGCGCGAAATGCCCTCATCAGTGATTTGGTCACAGTGCGACAGAACGAGGGTGTTTATTCGTGGGCAGTAGGAGGCCAATTGAATTAAAGTCGAGTCCGTCACTTGTGAGCAATACTCGAGATCGAGTTTCTCTAGCTGTTGGAAGACAATTGGTTACAAGAAAAAACCTGCTACTTCTATTAGTACTTGATGTATAATTATTTAGTCCCCTGTAACTGTCCCTGTGTTATAACCACAAAGTGAAAATTGACATGTCTGCTAGTTTAGCTAAAGGTAGCCTTCTTGATAATTTGACATGAACTTAAACTAGACTCCAAAGGCAGATTCACTTTGTAGAATTATCAGCTGACTTGGCAAAGCGTCTAGTCCCATTCATCATAACCTTACTCAGCTAAGGTCAGGTAAAAGAGAGCAGAGGCTACTTGATTTCAAATGAGTAAAATAATTTATTTCGAAACTATCTTCTCGAGTCGTGCCTACTACCTCCTCGAGAATTAGAGGTAGTTTAGATAGCCATGTGAGGTGTACGAAGCAACTGAGGAAATTGCCTTCAAAACGCACTCGACGTTACCAGGAACTAAGTAAATGCAACGGAGCAGACGAGATGGTTTGAGATCGTCCATGGCGTTCCGGAAAAGGAACAACATTGGAGAAAGCAATAATTCCCAAACCGACGCTTAGCAGACCTTAATTGCACTTGAAAACAACACAAGGGACAGCTTAGCCATGCCACACCACGAGGCATGAAACGGAAATAAGTCATTTGGTATTCATGATGAAAATGCTTGCAAGCAATTTTAAAAAGAACAAAGCAGGCAAAACCAGACAACTGTATTCCACTTTAGTTCATGAAATTTCGCTAAACTTCTTCCTATTTAGCAGAGATTAATACTAATGTGGGTTGTGAAGTGGGCTCGGAGACCGTGAATGAGCATTTCAGGACGTTGAGTTTCAGTTTGTGCGGTAGGTCTAAGTTACAACACTTCGGGATGGTTGAATGAACAGAAGACAGAAGTGGACGGCGTTAATCAATGAGACAAATCGGGACCGGAAATTGAAAAGAAACATCAACCCAGTACGCTTTAATTTTGAACGGATTCACGCAGTCTGAAAGAAACGCTGGGGAAAGAATCAATAATGAAGCGGTTATTACGTTCTGATTCAGTTCTTGTGAATGTGATTGACATAAGGAATTTACATGTCATGGCATTTTATTTGATCACAGGGATTCTCAAGCCAATTTGGTAAATGATTGGTGGCAGCTTCTCCAAGTAATTAGATGCGCAAACGAAATGAAAATAAACCTAAGTAACTTACATTAACGCAATTCCGAGCAAGAGCAGCCAAGCCGGCGTCAGTCAACTGAATACATTGACTAGCCTCCAGAACTCTCAGTTCCTTGCATCCAACAACAGAGAAGGATTTCGGTTGGATGGCAGGCCCTTCCCATCCGGAAGGTGAATTGGGGGTTGTCAGGGGGGTGGTGGTGGCCGACGAGTGACGGTGGGTGTTCCCGTTCGCGAAAAACCCCACACCACCCGTCTCACTAAAGGGACGGTGGCGTGGTGCACGCGTAGCTCCGTTGCCCGAGATTTGTGCTAGGAGTGCGGAAGATGGAGGAGCTGGTAGGGCGATACCGAGGATTTCCGCAGCTGTCGAAGGGGGCAGAGTCCCCGCGAGAGCGCGCAAACCAGTGTCAGTTATCTGACACAGAGATATTGAGAGAGCCCGTAGAAATTGACAACCAATGGCCAGATGGATCAATGCCTCGTCGGTTATGTTCTGAATAAATTCAACGGTACTTACAGGCCCAAATGAATCAAGATTACAAAACTCAATGTCGCCGTGCGCAAGAGGACCCTTAACCGGTAATATAAGTTTGACGGCAGTTATTCAATTCTTAATGTAAAAAAAAATATTAGGAAATATTTACGTGTCAGAATTACGAGAGCTCAGAAACTAAGAACTTGAAATAGTAATTAAGAGAAGGCAATGTAGAAAGATGGCCAAAGCTGATAGAGTCCCTAAAAATCTTATTTAACGAACAAAAAAAGGTAAGATGGAATCTAAGTTTTATTTTCTCACGTTCTAGCCGATATCTCACTTTTTAGGTGGTAACTTCGTCCATGAAGTCTACATCACAAGATAAACTCGAAGTTAGACTGGTTTCTCGAAAAATCAAGAACATTTACGTATTGACGTGATTAAAGTACGTGATCTATTACACAACTGCAAGAAATTCAGCCCAGCACAAAAATTTGTTGATATGAATTTGGTTGCACGAGCTTATAAAAATGCAACATTATTCGAGGCATTCATCTGAAAAGTAAACTATGGTTAAAGCACAACCAATAATACGGAAATACAACTTTTAGCACATTGCTCCTATTAATCACGTCTTCGCCGTCAAGAGCATTTCCCCCTCTTTTCGCATGTCCTAAAACAACTTGCAAAGGCACCTAATGTGAGTGGTGACTCGCATACTACTCATAGAATTAGAATACTAGACTAGTGAAATCTGCCCCATGGCTACCCGACTTTCAAAACAGCAGTTTCGTTGTAAGTTCGAATCGCAGTGGTCCTTCAATGAAGTGCATTATCCGAGGCCACGAGAACTCCCGACAAGGTGGCCAACGGTACACTGGGCAAAACTCGGGCAGGGAAAGGTATTCAACGATGCAAAGCATTTGGACCTAACATGACACAGAAATTGGTAATATGTGGTTTGGGTTTAAAAAAAGGTATAAAAAATAACTATAAAGATGACTCGGTTACAAGATGATGCATTGCGAAAACAATTATTGATGAAAGGAAAAAGTAGCACTAAAAGGAAATTTGGAAAATTGAATAAAGGAATGAGGTGCGTCACAAGATGACATCATAAAATAGTTTAAAAACCGAAAATTCTTGACAGTAATTGTTACACATTCCCGGCTCAAACTAAAAGAACATTCAAAAACAAGCAGCTGAGCCATAGTTGCCACGATCAAAAACAAAAGAATAGCTGACCTGACCACAGTGACTGAGATTGAGCAAAAGGAGACGGTTGGTCCTACTGGCGATATGACCGACACCGCGACTGGTCACATCATGGCAGCCCATAACCTTAAGCTCCTTGAGACCAGGACAACCCTGGGCGATAGCAGCCAATCCTTCGTCACCCACAGCGCACCAAGAAACGTCGAGATGAGTCAACCGGTCACAGGCACTGAAACAATAACGTTTGACACACTTGATGCTTCCAATGATGTTCCCCCTAATCGGTCGAGCCAATTCGCTCGGATTACAATGCACTTGCCAGTCCTAGTCAGGTACCATTAAAATTATTAGGCTTTATTAATGAAATGTGGGAAAAACAGTATATGGCGAGGAACAGCCATTAACATAATAAAAAAGGCTTTCTTTATACAATTGCATCGACTTCTTATTACACTGACAGAAAATCAACACGTGCGAAGGAATGTCCCATAGCCCCAGGTGACCTGATGAGTCAATCACAATTGAGTTTTTCGTATTCTCTCAATGACGGGAACTCATCAAAATAGAAAAACCGGGGCACAAATAATACGCGATGAATGAATGCAAAATACGGACTGTAATAGTCATTCAAAGACGGGAATGTGGGAAAGATTTTACGAATGGAGCCCATGGGATTCATAAAACAATACAACATCGTTCATAACGCAAATCTAATGGGGAAAATTATACCTTAACTTGCGTAAACCTTCATCACCGATGTAAGGACACGATGCCAAAGAAAGTTGCTGAAGTTCAGGACAGTTCTGTCCAAGATATTTACAGGTTTCGTCAGTTAAGTGTTGACATTCTGACAGATCAAGTACTTCAATAAGACGGCATAATTCTGTAAGGCGCCTGAAATTAATAGGTCTTGGTAACAGAGGAGACTTTAACGAAGGTAAGGAGGGTTGACTATAAGTGGCTTGACGAACCTCATGGCTTCGTCGTTGATATTGCGACAGCCTCGAAGAATAAGCTCACGTAAAAAACCTTGGCAGCGCTGAGCGATCTTTTCAACAACTTCTGGCTAAAATTCTGAATGCTAAAAAGGATACTCCTACTTGAACATCTCGCTGGAAATTGAACAAGTTTGTTCGCTTCCAGTTGCTCCCATCAAATGCGCATTTGTACCAGAACTATTGTTAACTAATTAAGAAATCGAAGCCTGAAAAACCTTGCAAACTTGAGAGCATGTACAGAGGGTCTCAATGTCGAGAAACGAAAATACCCTAAGAGTGCTCATAATGACAACTTAACATACCTTAAAATGAGTTCCCGGGGTAAAGCGTCGTTTATACATACATCACGCTATTCAGATTATGAAAGAATGTTAGTGTACTACCTTGGCTTCCATGGTTCCAGTAAATGGACCTGGCTGGGGATGTTGTTGTGGGCCGGACATTGGTAGGAAAAGTATGGCTTATGTTGCAAGCTATTTAAGCATTAAATTAAACCCAAAAAAACCATCAACGAAATATCTTCGCTTTATCCAATGTTCCATCGAATCGATCCTTCATTTTCCTAGGAAAATTTGAGAACGACCACAAATATCAAAACACAGGGAGGTAATCAGCTGTGCAGATATTCTATTCAGTGCAATCCATTTAAACAAATGTTTATAAACAAACACTTACAAAAAATACTAGTCCTACGTCACGTCTAAGTTGTATTTTACAATAATCATAAATCGACTCTTTTTAGTAAACGTACGCTTTGTAATAAATGTTTTTGATTCCGATTGACCTACTAATTCGACTACTAATTCACATAGTGCGTAGTACTAATTCACAAAATAAAGTCAAACAGTTCAGTGAATTACATGCTTTGATGAGTTAAAGGAAATGGTGACATGGGAAACGATGGGGAAGTTTTGCGCAGTTTGGTGATAATTGGCAAAACCGGGGAATTTTTTGCACACCGCTCGCATTAAAACGAGCCACGTTACAAAATTAAGCAGAAGTGTATGTGACCCCCTGCTTGATGAACGTCTATCCAGACAATGTTTTGTTGTCAACGAAAAATGCTCTTTTTTAATGTCATTGAAACGTTCATTGATATTGTCATTTTAAAATAAGTACAACGCCGATTAAGATGATAAACATAAATCATTTAGATTTGTGGGATTAATTGCTTGCTTGGAATTAGACCACATTACAATAATTCTTATGTTGCTGTATTCTCCCTTTCTAATTCGGACCACTATTGTATTGCAATGCGTTATCTGCCGTTTTAATCTTGCACAGGTGCTAACACTAACGCATCAATAATGCAGACAATATTTTTCTACGAGACTTTGAAATTCATAAACAGTAACTCACATTATTGTGCCGGGATAATTAAAGAAAATCTGGTACGCTCAACATTATGGATGTGCTATCTCGTGCAATAAACTTCACAATAATAAACATTATGCCGTAAACAGGCAAAATATGTGTGAAATTGAGTGCTAACCACCGTAGTACAATATGGGGTTCTCTCGCTAAGTGTTCGAATTGCAAGTAAAACTCAGCACGAATTGTACTTAGTACAATTATTTACATCTATAATAAGGCATTGTTGTGAATCGTGTTTATTCAACATCTTAATCCGATCGCTTCGCCTCCGACACAAGGCTCCTTTTCTCGCAGCATGGCGACAGCCGCTCAAATCCTCAACTCCCTCTTCATTCACACGTATATGCATCTTGGATTAACCTCACACGTAGATCTCGATGTTAGCGCATCTATGACTCACGGGTCCGAGGTATAAATACACAAGCGCAAACCCGACACAACCACACCAATTCTGGTTAAGGTCTGAAGTGAACGGGTTTGTTCCGTCCTCTCCGGTCTTCTTCTTCATCGCGGGCATCAGGCAATCGTAATCGGGCCAGGGTTTATTTAGTGGCCCCGGTGTGGTTCACGACCACATGCTGGGGCCCACAACAGCATAATTATTTCCAGCCAAATTAAAATCTCTCGAATATGAAAATTATGACCATGTATTATGCCATGCCAGTGAAATTGTCTATCCATTTGTAGAATAAAACAATCCTCTTACAGTTTGTTGTAGACATGAAGTGTTTTCAGTTTTCAATCAGAAATATCGCCATGCGAGTATGCCTGAGTAACGCCACAAATCCTATGACTCATTAGACAAGAAGTTAATAGCTCTAGGTTTAAAATTGCATTACAATAATCTACATAAAATTGACCATAATTTTTTTATCGAACGTCCACCGAATACCGTATGTAGAGTTTTTTCTGTTTAACGTCAACTCGATTATCTAAATTTAATGAAAATGCTTCAACAGGTATGGGCTTTTATGATTCTTTCTTTACGGATGTTGCGCTCAAATTATTTTTATTTTTGATATTGCAATTTATTTGCAATTAAATTGTGTGCTCAGATATTCGACATTTAACCACCTTTGTGTTCATATTCTCGGTTCGCATGTTCCTTGCATAAAATTACCTTGGAACAAAGATGAAAACTCAATAGCATATGATAAAAAAATTAATATGGATTTTTCAGTTTGTTAATTAGCCTTAGGATGAATGCTCAGTCTTTTAAACTTGACACTTCATAGACAAAATATCCGTCGATGAAACGGTCATAAATGGCAGCAGTTTAAAATCATCCCTTAGTCTTTTAAAAGAATTTGTGTAGAAAATTAATTTGCTTGTTTCCCTTAATTGAACCGTTTCTAGTTTATTCTGAAAATAAAATTGTCACTGCAGAAAGCAGTATTTGTAGAAGCTTTTCTGACAGCTCACAACCATAAAAAAGACAGACGAGAACAGACAAAACATTTTTGCACATTTCAGTCAAGTGCTTTTTTGAGTGCGTGCTTAAAAGTGTAGCTTTACAGTGCTTGTGATAAATGGCTAATGAAATATAAAGGCATGCAAAAGAAACTACTCAGACAGCTTTAAATATATTTGGCTAGCTTCCTCTGAAACGTGTCCTATGATACTTGGATGCTGATTCAACTCTTAGGACTTTACGATTTTAGTTGACGTCATCACTGTTAATTTGAACAATTCTAATGATCCTTGAGATATACGATTTTGCCTTATCATTAAGGTCTTTTTGTAACGCAAAAGTCCTTTTGGTTGCCAAAAGCTTACAAAATTAGGTTTTAAGATAGGAAACGGTCAAAAGAGTGAAACTAGTCGTTTTGCTTTGCAAAACAGCTGCACAAGTTCCGGAGGTTATTGAGAGAATTCGAGGTAGTATAGTTACGTAGGTTTAGAAAATTTTGCAAACCTGAGTAACTTAATAAATTAGCCAAATAAACAGGACTAATTTCTTTTTATGGTAAATTGAGGCACTTGTGCTACATTAACTTGTGTAGTGCTCTCGTCAGTTGAGAAAAAACAGGAAGGTTGCAAATCTTAAATGTGGTGAATAAATTAGCTATTTAATTTTCCTGGCTTCTGGTTTTGTTTGATATCCCACCTGTGTAGAAACAATGTTTAATCTGTGACTCTACCTGTTATCAATTGCCTATTTTTGGTCTTCTGTGTACGTTGTGTAGCGTGGGGGCAGAAGGACGCCTTCTTGGCATCCAGCCATTGGTTGAGAGCCAGTGGCGCGCCGTGGGGGTGGCATCACGTGATTTCCGGTTGCGAGGAGTATTTAAGTTTCAAATGGGGCGCCAAAGCCCAGATAGCCAATCACCTCACGAGATTGCCTTTCTATTTCTAGAAGCCAGGCAGGGGCCAATGAGCGGACAGGAACAGCCTGAACCCGGTATATAAGAAACCCCTTGTGAACACTAGAACTCTAACCCCGATACGCTCTGGAGACCATATAATACATTTCGTCCACAAAGCACTTGATGGACTCCCCGTAACGCAACTTTCGCTGCCCAATCTCCCAAAGCCGAAAGGTTTTGTCAGAGGGGCTAACAAAAGTGTCCCTCAGGGTCTGCACGAGAGTTTCGTAGGGCGTATCAGGCGTACAACCCGCTCTGTTCGCCCTTCAGGTGGCTTGTCTGGACATAAACCATATAACACAAGCTGAACGGCGAGCGGGCTCGACCGCAGTCAGCGCATCTTCAACTTTGACAAACCACTCTTCGAAATCGTTGTCAATCTCGTAGACCGGTGGGGCGCATCGAGGAAAAACCATCTGCTCGGTCATCGCTGATGTGCTACAGTTGTTAGACGCTAAACCTTGTCGCTTCTTGAACAACAGGATAACTTGAAATGGTTACAGCACTGAGGACCCTACATGAATACTGTATAATAGTGCGATTAAAAACAAATCAAAGTTTTTTTTAAAAATGAAGCTAACTTATTTATGTCTTGCTACAGTATCTATTTGCGCTATATTTGCTATGCAAAAACAAATGATTAGTGTCAATGCAATTTTTTATTCGAGTGGTCGTTCTAAAAGGGCAACTCTGGAGAGAAATGTGAACTGTACACTGTCTGCTTATTAAAGTTGAAAAACATGAATTCGTTTTAAGAAGGTAAACTATGGAACGTCAGACTATATATACCAGAGTTCAAAGATGCGGCCGGCGAACAAGTATAAATGCGACCAACCATTGACCAGGTTTCAGCGATTCCTGATAGATAGGTCAGTGGCCAGTGCTCAAGGAAACAAAACTTTCCCCTGAATGACAGTTTTACAAATTTAACATGTCAAAAGGAATAATATGTCCTGCCGATAGGTGATTAAATATATTTTTCAAAATTAATGTAAAAAAGAAATTAATTCCCTCAATGATTTCTCAGCTCCAATGACAAAGGAAAGCGATGCATCCAATTACTAATTTTGTCACATTTAAAACCAGGTGTTCCACCTGTGAATTAGCGATTGAATAGTTCCCCCTTTATTAAATTTTAATGCCGTTTTATTTCCTAGAGCAAAGGTTTTAGTAACCACTATGTGCAAATATTCTATGGTTGTCTGCTTTGTGAAATTTATATTTTGTCAAATTAGCAATTTTGGAGAGGAATACGATGGAGAAAGACTATATTAGTGAAGGAACAAAACTGCTTGCGCTCATATAAACCGGTCGATAATTCGATTTCAATTGAAGTATTGCGCATTATTCGAAGTAATGGAAAAAAACCGCCAAAAAACAAACGTTTCTGTACTTTGTTACCCGTTTAGTTTAAAGCAAGACATAATTGGCCGACGCCTAGGTGAGAATGCAAGATTATATTGAATGTACTAATACAAAATTCTACACTGTTTTTCGCACGAACAGTCTAAAGATGGTGCTTCATTTTTATTAATCTGTCATTTCTGTCAAATCTGAAGTAATCACAAGCAGATATTCAGCAATGTATACTAGTCTAAATAAAGAAGTGGAAACATTACCATGAAACAAAATAAGAGATATACGTTGATCGAAAAAGAAATCATTGTGCGGAAATTTTCGATTTGAGGAATCATGACGAAAGTCTTTCATCAGATCTACTTAAAAAATTTTATCGGTAGAACTAATTTTCTGATATTCCTATTTAAATTTATCCAATAATGTCCTTTTTGGCTGTTCTCTTTAGGTTTTCAAAGGCTGCTGAGAGAGATTACAAGCCAAGTAAAGCAACTTATTTTTTAATGGTATGCAGCCAACACACACGGGGGGGATCAAAATATTTTGGAGCCCAAAGCTTGTTGGTTTAAAAAAGTTATGAATGAAATTCAATTTTTTACGATCTTGGGCTTCTGCGGTAAATTGTTATGAACAGGACTACACAAAAATGGGCAAGCGGTCGCAGGTTAATCTATTCACTTGAATTGCACCTTTGTCCATTTAAATAAAATTTTCTTGTCCTTAGGAAATTTAATTTGGCCTTTACGTTATCCGTAACTTGTCTGCGTCTATGTTTAACACAGTAAAGTTTTTTTAAATGCTATGATGCAAAATATAACCAAAATTATTTTTAAACGCACCATAAGTTCTTTTACCGCATTCGTGCGACCTAGAGCTCTTGTCACTTGTACACAATAAGGATTTAAAACCATTTTGCACTAGTGGTCTTCTCGCCATCAGTTTATGCGTGAAATGGATGTTCCAATGTTACCTTCTCTGTAATTTTTAATTGCGATTTCGAATTTTAGTGACGTAAATGGTGTTGTTTCAAGAATCCAAGATGCTAAATTGAACAAAATCGGTTACCTTGACCTTAAAAAATGCGGGATAACTAGTGTTCCGCATCAACTTCTGGAGCTGGCTAACTTAAGAGTAAGATATCGACTTCATTGCATAAATGCAGCGTCTTTCTTTATGCCACAACAGGATTGGTGCTTTACCTTATGCTTTTTGTGAAACACTTTCCGAATTAACGTGGCTTGATCTTCGTCACAATTGCCTGTTCGATCTTCCTCGAAACATTAACAAATTATCTAAACTTACAAACCTCTTAATAGGGCATAACAATATCCCTAAATTGTGTTTGGAAATCGGGGGTCTCAATAACCTTAAAGGTCTCAACTTTGAGCACAACCCACTTCAATTCCCCCCTCAGAGCATTCTTTCGAACGGTACGAAAAGTGTATTGAACTATCTCAATCGGTGTTACATTCGACGTTCCCAGTTGAAGGGTATGTTTTGTGGTGACTTTTGGCTTCATGATTTCGTTCATTATTTTTTGATGTGTTCTGTACCTATGATTGTCTTCATAATTGCGCAATTGTACTTCTGCCATGCATTGTCCCTGTATCCTCTTTGTTTGTCTAATGTATATGGTATTCAAGTTTTTGATCATTAAATGTCTTCCTGCTTTTTTTATTGCATAAAATTTCATCGGAAGAATAATCGAACTGAAAACCATATTACCGCAATGTATCTTTTCAGCGAGTGTAATTTGACATCCACAAAATAAAAAAGCTTCATACCTTAAAGCCTGTTAAATTGTAAAGTTTATTTGGTTTTTTTCTGAAAGTCGGCTTAATTTTATTATTAAACACCCAGAACCAAAGTCAGAGCACTTTTATAAAGTCAGTTTGTGTTCTTCATTGCCCGCATCACTGGTTTTAGCTCAACCAATAATCAGTCGCAGCCTTTTATTTCCTGCTGACCTTTAAATTCTTTACTAACATAATTAAAACTTGCTTTCGAGGTTTTCCTGAATGTGTAATTTGCACTTATTTTTCAAAAATGGTATTCTAAAATAGTGAGCTTTTTTACGTGTCAGTAATGCCGACTGCAGGTGTAAATAGATGACATTTGTCAACCACTATTTAATCACACTTTTACTAACCGTATCTTCAAAAGATCCATTTTATTTTTCCTGAAAGTATTTAGTTTTTCAAATCAGTGAGCTCATTACATAATGTTTAATTTTCAATCATTTTTAAACGATTGGCTTGGAGATTGGGATAAGCCGAATGATTCAGTTTAGTTCATTCTTACTTATCTTCTCTTCAGAATTCAGCTTTGGTGACCTTTTGGCTGGATGTTTTTATTAGCCTTAAATGAACCGCATTTATTTGTAGATGTGGCATGAATTTTTGTTGATGTACCAGGTATTTTTTCCTTGAAAAGGCAAGGATAAACGTCTAATAATAGCAATCTATAGGATCCCTCTCCCTAAAAATTTACTTTCCGGTTCTAAGTTAAACATTTTCTTGAATCGCCGCTCAAATTCCTAACTCCGCTCTTTTATTAAAGGAATAATTTTTTATGTTTTCTATGTAGCGATAATTAATTCGGCAGTTTTTATGTATTTTTTAGAGATGAGGCACAAATTCGAGACGTCTGGTGAAAGTGATAATACTCTAACCACTAATGTTGATCACCTCTTGGTTGATTTCGGCGAAGAACGTGGTCCGCGTTTTTAATTTAATCATTTCCAGGTTGTATATCTAGTTCATTCAGTTGGAGCTGATCTGCAGGCACGCCTTGACGTTATTGCCATAGAAAGTGTGGATGCTGAGATTTCTTCTCATAAAAGTTTTTTAATATTTTAATCTACTAATGTATTTGCAGCAATGCCACAGAAACCTACGTCGTTGTATAATCCAAAGAAACATAATTATATTGCAAAAAACGACACGCAAGTTTTAGAAAACAAGTACGTTTTTTGCTATTTCTCAGTAACTTTTTTTCAACTAAAGCAGTGCAATGCTGGCCCTTCCTCACCAGTCTCAAAGGCAGGATCTAGTTTCTATGTCAGAACCAAAACTTGTTTCAGAAGAGTCCGTTCGACTCAGAGATAAGATTGAACGCGCTCGTCTTAAACTCAGGCGTGAGAAATTGCGCCAGAAAGTTATTCTTCAGCGATTAAAGTGCGTTAGACAGTTCACGACTTATGCCTTTCAGAAAAGATATGTCTGCAAACTTGGATGCTTTGAATTTTAGGGATCGCGAAGTGACCGAGGAGTGGAAGACGAAGTATCGGAAGAATCAGAACTTGCTATCAGTCCTCTATCGAACGAAGTCATATGAAGCTATCAAACAGGGCAAGTTATTTTTGCTGTGGCTTTGCTGAAACAGATCTCAAATGTTTGGTTTTCGTTATGTTGAGCCAAGTCCTGTCATAAAGCTTATAAGCTACGTTTCCGCTGCTCCGAACTGTTCTGTAAACGACTAAACATGCTTTCATCAGCAAGACCGATATGCACTGTGTTTTACACGATGGCTTCACTTCGGAATTTTAAATGTTTATTGACAGTATTGCCGGGCGGCATCTGCTGATTTCCATTCCCATGTAGAATCACGTGATCGAATTCGGGTGGCACCATTCGACACAAATTTAGATGAGATATCGGTGATGCAAACAGCCGAGTTAGAAAAACTTAAAATGGGTTCTCGGCCCGCAATTTTGCCTGCTCCGCGCCCGTCACCTAGGAGCAAAAATGCCATTCTTAAACTAGAGAGAGATCGGTAAGTGTATGGATTTTCTTTTTCCCTCGAGGTAAAACAAACTAATTATCTATGGCTGATTTGTCTTTCTAGCCGTCTCAGGGACAAATTTTTGATGGGCAAGATCAAGGAACATGTTGAGTTATTAAATGCCAAGTTGGACAACCCGCGGCTCCCTAAAAACTTGGCAGACGCAGAGCGTGATTTGGTAGCCGTATGTATCTTCTACTTTCATCACATAAGTAGCTGCTTTATGTAATTATTACAAAACCTACGTTTCCTTTCAGGCGCTCCAACTACAAATGCAAATTAGGAAACGACGCGATGTAATCACCCAGCTGAAAATGTCGACCAATCCAACTGCATTCATGTGATAATCCTGCCTAGGTTAAAAGCATGCATCCAAAATTACGTGTTCAATTCTAGAGAGTTTGGTAGCGTTGTAATGTGAAGTAAGAGTAGGCAAGCGCCGCCAAACCGACAGGGACGAATTAGGAAGTTATCACGACCTGATAATTATTATCGAGAGAAAACGGTGAGTTTGGAGAAACGAACACAAACTAACTTCTTGGCGTACCTGGCCAGGTCCGGTTTCTAACCTTGGCTTCCATTTCCCATGGTCACCGTGATCAGTTTGCTTGTCTCTCTCTGCACTCAACACTAGCTGAGATTCTGTACGTTACCATCCGTAATGCCGGTGGGACGTTGACATGGAATAAATTCTGCCCAAGTATGGACAGTTCAGCACAGTCCACACGCAACTCGTAGTGATGTAGTGCGACTGCATGGTGATTTCTTACAAATCATTCCCACTTCCTGTCAAACTCAAAATGGATGAGTTAAATGTTGAAAGTACGAACAGGTGTAGGGTTTGGGTGTTCAACGTCATCCAGTCTCGTGCGTCGTTGTTCTAGGAATAAAATCACGACTATCATGTAAAGCAGTCCTTTGCTGCCATTTGCTATTGTGTCCTGCTCACCCAGGTGGTCATAGTCTGGAGGCAAATTCATGTACGTTTGGACTAGTCGATGGTATTTTAATTAGAAAAGGATTTTTCTCGATTGATTCATCCACTCCAGGGTGACCCAAGTACTCCAGTAGACTGTGCTGCCCTTATTTGGCCAGCTATCCTAATTACGCGAAATAGCCTCGCACCCTGTGGGAAACAGCTCCCCAATTGTTTCCCATAGGTAGCGTTTAAGTCTCGGCTTCCCGATTACGCGCTTCTGAACGAAGCTCAAAATTTCGTGATTATATTCACCGTCAAAAGATTCGCAATTTGTAAGACGAGTGCTGGAGTTTTTGCCGCATTCGGATAATCAAAATGCCCAGGTCTATCCAAGGCAAAGAAAGTGCAGACTGTGAATCACAGGGGCCCCATCTGAGATGAAATCGAAAGCGACTCAGGAGTACGTGCGTTATGCCGACTCATCCTGCAAAGTGTTTAAATCTGCCGTCGTTTGCCTGGTAATGAAGAGTCCCTCACTATTCCCCACTCGTGGCGTGTATGGATGTATTCATCGTGTGGTGAGAATGCAAAATTAGCCCCCGCCCCCCTCCCTCTCCCCCCTCTCGAGTCACACGCGAATGAAGCCCTCCAGGTGGAGGGGTGGGTGGTGGTGGCGGTGGAGGTGCTGAAGCTCCTGAATGCTGTTCTGTCTGCGGTAGGCCGCCTACTGATTAATTGGCGCGAGTGTCATCTGATCGTGTCGTCTAGACAGTCATTCGTTTATTAGGGGAGTGGGAAGATCTAAAGCCCTCGCGAACAAATTTGCCCCTTTTCTCAGGTGACATCAATAAATGCCACAAGTTTGAGGGACCGTAAAGGGGTGGGGAATTGGACAATAGTGCTGTTCATTAATGCCGTAATGGTCGTTTAATAGAAAAGGATTGGATACTTTTCTCTGATGGAGACAATTTAATCAAGTTTCAGAGGGCTTCTCGCAGATAATCTTTCTAATTTTAGAGCCACCCGGTGTCTAACGTCCCCCTCCCCCACAGGATCTTAGATGGATCGACCTTTACGTTCTAAGACTGGCCTATCCTTAGTTTACTTCTTCCATTTCGAAGACAGGGTTCGCTAAAACGAGGCCTATCACCCGAAACCACGTATCGAATTCACGACGCTTTTCCTGCGTAACATTCTGTATTAAGAACATGGTCGAGCGATTAGCCACATTTTAAATCACAGTGGTGACAAATTCAACGTGGGAACCACAATGGAGAGAAGTATAAGCATTGTCTTCTGTATCTGTGCGATCCAAGGCTTAAAGCTACCTAAACTGACAATTAATTTATCCTCAACTATTCGATTCCCACCAACGCTTTTTTATGTATTAAAGAGCGCACATTGTCGGCACTGGTGTGCTCTACTTCCAACAAATCAATCGACAAACTCAGCTGTCTGAGATTTCGAAGGCATGATTTGATCGGACTTGTTCATATGAAGGCGTTGTAATTTGCTTTCATTTTATGCTTTACTGATTAACGTGAATTTTTTCGACGTTGATTTTCTTTTTAATTCGATCGTAGCCTGTGAATCCACTGGACATGACTAAATTGTTGGCATTGTGACCGTTTTCCATTTTCCAGCGGCTGGTCCTAGCCTTTCAAGAAATGCAGGCCTGTTAGAAGAGGCAACCAATAATGCTGCGTTTATAACTTGGGAGTTGTGTGATTAAAATGCTCGGATACCGGCCTACTGTTAAGACTCCCCAAATTCGACTTTGCCATTAAATTTGGTGGCGAAAGGGAGCGTACAAATAAACCACTTTTTAAGTTCCAAGTTTATAGACTTTTGGAAGTCATCACAAAATATGGAGTGCTGACATTGAGGGTCCAGATCGCGTTGGGGGTGTCATCCGCCATGCAGCCTTATTGATCTGCGCTTAGAATTGCAGCTAAATTCCGCCAGTCAGTGCGATCACTTTCAGGCTTTCAACTTGAACGAAAGATCGATTTCCATCAACCTATCAACCATGTTAGTTTCGATCAAGGAAGGAATGGTGCATTCGAAGCCGAAGGCGCAAACTAGTACCCTTTATTAGAGTAACCTGCATAATAAGCACCTGCCCAAGGCAGCACCCCATTTTCACCTTATACCAGTGCACCAGTTCGCGAGATAAAAAAGAACTTGACTTTTAGGTCAAGTTACTGAATCGGATAGCCATTTTGTTTACGGACAAAAAACCGCCTTATTCAGTCAGCACACCCCGTGTAATCTCTTTCGCCAAACTTATAACCGAGGCAGTTAGGCTTTCGATTGGGACCAGTATAAAATGTCATCTGCTTGTGGCGTCTTCTTTGAGGCAAAAAGGAGAATGCAGTAGGACTGATACTCCCATCTCCGCATCCCCACCCCTTCTCGCGGCTGTTTTTTGTCCGCCAGTTTGGTTTTTAACTAAAACATCTAGCCATATTTAACAAACAAGGACCGTTTTTTGTGAGTTTGCATTAGAGGTCAGATTAGCATAAAAGTCGGTGAAATGGAAATATTTGTCCAGGGATCTGATATGTCAATAATTGTTTCAACCGGGGAATACATGCGAAAATTGGAGAACCGCAAGCACAAACCACTTGGCGGCTGGGCGGGAATGACGGTACTTTATTACCAAGTTCTCAGTAGCCTGCCTTCTCAACACTTTCTCTGCCACCGACAATTTTATGATGTCAGATTCCGAGGCCGCCTTTATAAATCAGACTACGGCAAAAGTGCACCTTATTTCAGTGTCGCTTAATACAATGCCCTATGTGCAGTAATGTTCACACGTAGGCATGCATTTTGGACCCATGACAGCACGCACTTTTAACGAACTAACCATAAACCAGATTCCTCCAATCTTTGAAGCGGTATCAGGCACATTTACTCAGTCGCGTATTGGGTGGTCAAGGTGTACCCTTCCGTAGCACCGTCATACATAGGCAATGTCCCTCCAAAATAGCTTTGTTTATTCTAACGGTGACCTACCTCTAGCCAATATTTACAAGTGGACAAATTGCGTTACCGATCTTCTCACTCTTCACGTGGCATTACTCATGTGCCCTTAATGACCCTGAGGTTTCTACGAAACGCAACTTAACAAGCCTATTTGTATAGCTTGGATCCTGTCAACCAAAAATGATGCTCTCAGACTTCCAAAAATTGAACAGAGATTAAAATTCTCTCGTAGCGGCTCCACTCCATCTTCTGATTGCCCTTGCTGCGAATTAGTTTTTGCTAACATTGATGAAATACCTATGTAAAGAAGTTCTGGTAGTACTTAAAAGAATCTCGCACATTCAATCTTTCCCTAAAGATCCAATCAGTTTCAGGCTCAACCTCAGAAAGGCTACTGTTCATTAAAGGCAAATAAAATAAATCGACTGATATGAGTTGACAATGGATGTAGAAAGCCAGACGCTTATCCCCGTAAATACATCAGTGTGTACCTGTTCGTGGTGTCAAGGGTTACCCGTGCTGTAGGGTGGGTTTAAATATACAGCGTCTTCAGCCTTAATGTATAAACCGGTTCCGATCCTGATTGCCGCAATCGAAGGTCGATAAATAGTTTTTTTCTAATAATTCTTATTTACCTGGCTTTGGTTGCCTCGTACAGACAAAGCGACGAGGTGTGTTACATCAAAACGACAAAGGCAGCTTGGAATATTGTAGAAACGAATGCGCGTTACTCCCAAAGTAAATAACACGTAACGGAACGCGTAAACAGTAAATCGATTTAAAGGTAAGACATACTAAAGTGGTGTCTCACCCGCCGGGTGTTGTAGCGTTCCTACCGGCAGCGCTTCTCGTCAACGACAATCATACAGGCACAGTTTACAATCAGACACACAGCGCAAGACCATAAATATTGAGAACCTTAATATATCCACACTGCCGAATATAAAACAAGAGCCTAGGACTCGCGGAGAGGGTTGGTGTAAGCAAAGGAAGTGTAATCAGATCTGACCTGCAAACCCACAGGCGTAGGTTGAGGAGAAGGAATGAGGAGGAAGGCGGGATCATGAGAGAACACAAGAGCTCGACGGACAGGCCAGACTGGAATTTGCTGCGCGGAAGGTGCGCGTCAATATGCATGAATGCAAAAAGGGCGTTCAGCGGGACGGTACGAAAAGTAAAATAGCGAGGCAGGTCAGAATAGCATGGTCAATGTTACATGACTGGTTAGATAAAATCGGGCCCTGACCTTGAACACAGTCTGTTGTGGCTTAGTCATCAGGGGTCTTGCCCATTTGTGAAAATACTAATACTAGGTGTCTGGGCTTGGAAGTCAATTCTGGGCTATCGAACGTGTTGCCAGCACAAGCTCCTAATCCTTCTTTAGTTTACTTTGTACGAGTGAAGGATTTCGATTTGATGAGTTTATTTATGTGACTACAGTGCATTTGATTCTTAAATTGCCCAGAAATGCCGAAAAATTCTTTTTTGGGTTTATTTTATAGTTTTCACTTTAAAACCTTTTTTGATTGCTTTCCCTGCGCTATCTTCGATTTGATGCAATTTGTGGTCAATTATTGTTCAGACTTTTCTCCTACATTTTGTGCAAAGGTGTGCTCACACGCCTTACCATGAAAACTAGAGAGTAAAGGAACAAAATTATCTGCAGTTCCAGCAGAGAAATACTCGGGTTCACGAAGAACAATGCTGTGGAAGTCTCCGGAGATCTAATCAAACGCGAAGTAGTTGTGCAAAAATTTACGGCGTTAGGTCGCGTGAAGCATAAGAAATAGCTCACTGAAATTGGTACCATCTCTTGAGAGAGCGGTTCGTGTTCTGGCCATCAAATGGTGATTAAGGAGGTTATTTGTAAATATGGCTATTCATACCCGTTCATAGTCGGGATAACTAGTATGCCGAGGCACCACGAAGCCAATTCAAGAATCACCGTGGCGTTAGTATTTATCACTTACCGAGTCCGAAATAGCAGCGATGAAAAAGGAGAGAAGGTAGTACCGCGGGATCAGTAATAACGTTTCAGACCTCAGTTCAAAGCTAAATATATTTTGTGCACACTTGAAAAAGTAAGGTTCCTTTAATCAAAACATGTGCTTGCCTAGAGACAAATGTGATAGCGAACAAGGCAGGTATGCGATTGCACATTTGCCACTGAGTGCCTCAATGGGACACGTTCTATTTCCGAATGGACCTGGAGAAGACAGTGGCAGTCTTAGGTTCTGACTACGAGCGTAGATAAGTATTCAGTGCCTATCATGGGGTTCCTGTCATAAACCAATGAAAGAACCACCCATGCATATTAATCAAGATCTGCTTGCCAGCTTTTTAAAGAACAACATTGAGGATGAAAGGCGGGAGTAATTGCTTCTCCGTGTCTGCCATTAACACTCCGCCCGTTCCTTTCCGGCAAGTCAGTTCACCGGTAATTCCCTCCCCTCCCGCAAAACACCGAGCAAGGTGGAACACCCGCTTTTTCACGCCCTGACACGTGAGCGAACGCTAATGGGTCCGAGTAATAAATAGTGGCAATATCAGGAGTAAAAGGTTATACGAAGCAGTGGGCGTACGTGGGCTGCCAATCCTTCTGGTGCTGCTGCAGCACCAGCCCCTAGACAATATGCACACAGCATTCCTCGCATAAGGGTTTAGGAGGGGGCAGGAGGCGACGACTCCTAGTTGCCGTGCCGCTAAGTGGTATTGTCCGGAAGGTGCATCGGGGTGGATAGAAGGGTGGGGCGCCAAGGTGCCCTTGCCTGGCACGGGATAGACGCGCACTCGTCCGTCCGCCGCACCTGCCATCAAGGATTGAAGTGTTTGTAACCCAATCGCCGATGATAACCATTGCTGACCTTTTTTTACGTAGAAGCAATGCATCACTAGAAACACCATCGTTTGACATATGTGGGGAGCGATTACTATCACCAAAGCACTCAGATGAACTCTAATTATCTTGCTGTTGTCGTCTATTTTAGAGTTGTGCGCGTGTTGCCATATCTTCTGGCAAAAATCGTGCATACCTTTGGAATAAAGGGGATCTTAAAAAAAGTACGTGCATATGCTAGGTGAATCAGGATTGCATCAAAGCTTAAGTAGGGCATTCGTTACTTAAAGAGTACCAACACCTCCTGACACATTGCTGACAATCTAGAGTAGCATGAAGAAAACCACAATATTGGTACAAGGATACGTGAAGTTAGGAGCATTGCCTGAGTAGGTTGACCATAAACTAAGATCGGCACAATTGACAACAATTCACACTCACTAGAACTTCCTGAATCCATTCAGCCGGGGCGCCGCCTTTCTAAAGGCAAGGAATTGGGACATCATAAAAAATGATGACTTTTCTCTGAATAAATAATAATGACACTCTTGAATGCAATATACGTAACTTACAGATGATAATTATTGCATATGAAGACATTTTTAGTTCAGGATATCCTCGCATGAAGGTAATCATGACTACCGCTGTTTTTCTGTGTGTCCAGGGAGCAGTATCCCCTTAATTTTAAACACAGATGACAATTTGACGCAGCACCGAACCCATGTTTTTTTAATTCAGAGATTCTGAATCCAGAATTTTTGCAAGCTCCCTTAACCTTAAGTCTTAAGCATGCATACACAGATAATCGCATGCTTCGAGGGTGGTTGCATGCTAGTGATCCACCGTCCCTTGTCTAACGCGAGCGCCAGGATAACGACGACGACGACGACGATGCGGAGAAAGCTTCTTCCGCCTCGGTCAAAAGGCTGACTGATCTAATGAATTGTGAGCGCCTGACACTGAGTAAAAGTTGTTAGTGTAATGATGAGAATAGTGTGACCATTAGTGCGTAGGGAAATTGGGAACAGCAACTGAAACTCTCAATTTTACGAAGAATATAATCTTTGGGATCGCTGACTTTTTCAACAACTAGTCTGTTGCCAGGACATGGCTTGTAGCTTTATCCCCTAATTTTCATCTCAACTGTTTGCGACCTTGGTAGATACGGAATGCACAAATTTTATTCGAGTTTCGGCCGCTTGAGGGCAGACAAAAAAGTGAAATATTTCTCTCGAAACAATTCCATCGTGGAGGGAGAGTAAGGAGACCCAAATCTCCAATTTACTACCCTCATTACGGTTGCCATGTGAAAAAGTAGAGAGCCCCTCGTCCTCCTTCCTTGGCCCACCCCAGTTCCACCAACCGGCACAGAAGGAAGCAACCGAGGCATTATCTACGTGCCATTAAAAGCCATCGCAACTGCACATTCACGGGAATGGCGTCCACTTCAAGAGGGGTGGGTGGGCGCGTTGGTAGGGGCTGACGAAGTTAACACCCCTTGTTAAATTAGCATCTCCTGTGCTGAAATGCAACACTAGCACCGCGCAATTTTTGTTTTACTTGAGTGTCAAATCTCATTAGTATATAAAGTCGGTGCATTACGCGCACCCCAACTAAAGTGACATCTAATGCGACAAGTAGTAACCATCAGTATACGAAGCAATCAAAACAGACCCAGTCTTTTATCTATCAATGTGTTAGAAATAAATTCTGAAATGTGCGGGAGTCTTCAGGTACTTGAGACAATTGTGATAGTTTTAGCGTTACACTCTCTTTTCAGACATGTTCTTTAGGAAGACCAAAAAAATTGTCACATCTGCTGCCTTTGCACAAAAAATATCAGGCAAATAACAATTACGATAATCAGGAAAGATATCAAGTAACTTATATAATTGTAACATTTGTGGGTTGGGCCGAGTCTCTGGACGGCAAAACAAATTCCAAGGTTTTTTGGCCCCATTTGCAACGCACCCGACTTATTCGATAGGTCGTAACTGTTTGTGCCTCTTGGAAGCTTACAGGTTTCTTTTTGCGTATGACTTGAGTAATCGGGAGAAACAATTAGACCTCAGTCAACCTACTAACATTTCCGAAGCTTTCGGCTTAAAATAAGTCAATACTTCTGACGAGCAAGACATGGGTTTCATGATTAGAATCATCATACACCAAGTTTTATTTCAGGATAAGTGGGTGAAATCCTTCGTGAAATAAGGCACTGTAACACGCCTTGACATATAAAACAATTTACTTTTGTCGTCAAGGTAACCCTTTCATGATTTCCACGGGAATCGAATCAGATTTTCGTCACTGTAGACAACTGAACTGCTTTTAGCGGCGATGGAGTAACCGGTCTACAAACAGCTGTGTTTCCTCTGTTTGCTTCTAGTTTATTCTGACCCCACATCGATCACTTGCAGAGCGCACTTTTGACATAGAGCTCAAGGTTCCTATCATTTGATTCAGTGTTTGTCTTCTACTTTAAATGCGAACCCAACAACTTAAGCCTTCATTTGGCGATGACAGAGTTGTGTGTACTTGTGCGTGTTTATCATACTGCCTCTGAAACAAAACGCCAACCATTTATTTTCATAAACAACTGAATTTATATACTTGCTTTTAGATAAATTCATTTGGCTATATCATTGTAAAGCTACTCTGATCGATTCTCAGTTCCCTGTCCTTTAATTTTCATCGAAGAATTTAAAAAAATGTTTCTTTAGAAGAGATCAACATGTGCAATTGGATGACGATTGCAGTTTCCTGTGACTCTACCCGCCCTGTTTGGCAATACTGAGGCCTAACGCATTATAAAGCAAGGCAACTGGGCGTAAAGCCCACTTTGTGCGGAAATAAACTTCGATCAGTGGTTATTAGGTGGGCCGCGCTTATCAGATCACTCCGTAATGGAGTGCCGGATGACGATGACCTCATAAAGCGGGGTCTGGTTGTCAAGAGGCAACAAATTGACGTGCAAGAGGAACTTTTTACACTATTTAGTGATAACATCACTGACCCTCGGTAACCAGTCTAACTTCCGGCATGGAAATAAGGCAAATTAAAACACTTTCGATCTTGCTAACTATTTTTCATTGACCAAAATACCACAGGAAGACAAGTGGGAGAAAGCCAAGCAATAACTGAAACATGGATGATTCGTCGATGGCGAAAAACAAAATACAAAACGAATTGCTAGCTCATTTACTCGCAACTCCTCAGTCACCTGCCAGTTATGTTGCAAACAGTCTGGCTAACTTAATAAATATATATACGTCATTAAACAATTTTTATTTTTCCCACAACTGCACAATCTCGGATTGTGGAAGTCGGCAAGGCTTCCATAATGCAAAAATGACCTAGCAATTTTTAACGCCCATCGACGGGAAATTTATTCATCCACCTAAAAAGATTGTAGAAATGCCATTGTCGTGCACCGCTATACGTCAAAAAGATGCGGACAATGAACATCGGGTTTAAAGTTGAGTTGACCTCCCCCTCCCCCCACACAGCGACTCGCGTTGCTGTCCCACCGACGCCCACACCCTCATATGCACACAAACTCCCTCATCCCACGTGGGGCCTCCAGCACCTCTTGTAACCCGTGATATTTATACAGATCCAAGTTTCTGGTTCGAAAGTATGGCCTTGAGTAATACGCGCTGTGTTCAGGATCACCCACCCAAAGAAGAACAAACTTAGTATTTTCACGAAAGGCTGAAAGTAGAGTAAGTAGACAATTTTGGGAGTTTTTACCACGATGTAACCCTAACACCTTATTTGGTGCACAGCTTTATTTTGACATTCATTATTTGTTGGAGTTTCGTGTACTCATTTACTGTTCCACCAAATTCTTTTACGGATTCCCTTGGCTTGAACCCACCCCCTTCACTTTATGTAGTCTAAACACACACGATAAGAATTTTTCGCGCCATATGCTGTCAGCCGATTTCTTGATGAAATTCTGCTTATCTTATCAAGGATGAATGTTTCTGTGTTTATGCGTAACTGGGCCCTGCAAACGCAAACTGATGGTAATATTTCAAAATTTTATAGTGCTTAGAAATCCTAATAGAAGATCCAAAAATCATCCATTGGGTAAATTGATTAGTAATTACGATTTGTGCAAATGATCTATGCATAATCGGGTCCTCTAGGTGGATTTTAATCCACTTAAAGGATAACGGCTTCACAACCAGACAAAGACTCAACTGCTATTTCAGATAGGCTTCTGTTAAAATGTTCACGTAACTTTATTATTTGCTAGGAGATAATATTGATTGTTGTAGGATTTCATAAAATCCTGTAGATATGAACGGAATTAGAAATGTTTCCTAAGCGCTTTTGGCACACAGCGCATTCCGATGCTTTCTACCAAGTAATCCATAAGAGCTCAGTAGTACATAATCCAATGAATGTTATTGATTTAAAATACACCAGGTTCAATTTTAATTGCACGTGCTAGCAACTCAAAACACAAGCGATCAATAGGATTTTTCTCAACCATGAGTTCTCCGTTTTCTCAAAAAAATGGATCACTCTTGTATGATAGTGGGAGACATTGTGTCAAGGTTCAATTTAGTCGCAATCAGTGAGTTGGTTTATGCATTCGGCCCTATGCCAAAAACTGGTAAATGGTTCCGTCAATACATTGTTAAATTAACGGAATTTCTAATTACTTTAGTTCTTCAGGTTCTTTAGGTTCAAAAAACAAAGCATGCGATTGTTGCCACAGTCGAGTTGCGCTTATTACCCTGGATTCACTGGTACCCCTCCACTAAAAGCTAACAGGGCATGCACTCTAATGAATTAAAAGCACTTACTTCGTCGTTGAGTTGCTAGGGCGCGATACCCCCATAATTAGGTTTATCTCATTAAAACAAATTATTTTGGCGATAGCAGTTCTACAGCTGACTCCCCTGCCTCATTGTCACCAAAATATGTGGAAGAGAACTAGGTCAGCATACTGGGAAACGATCTCACCTGCCGCAACAGTTCGCTGTCACTCGAGTGGGGAGAGAGTTGGCCGAGCAGACCGCAGTCGGCTCAAGAAATAACCAAGTCATGAAACAAACGAAATAACAGAAACAGTTTTGCAGAAGGCTCAAGGACAACTACACGCTCTTCAATAGGCAACCTTTAGAGGAATATAATTAACTTATTTGTTTGTATTCTCGCCAATTTGTGACATTTAAAACCATTATCACTCAACTTTACCTTACATAAAATAAAAGTTGCAGATTTTGAGTTCACACAAATACTCTATTTTCTGGAATTTGTTTGAAGTTCCTAAATAGAGTTCAATACGAAGATAATATGGCCTAAAGGAGGGTTTCTCCTCCTCGCGGTTAGCGACAGAGAGTGGGACGATGAAATTCTAGTGAAGTGATTTCCTGGCGTCGGCGGGCAATCTCTCAAGAAGTGACGTTTTATCCCACCAAAGGCACTAGGTTAAAATCTAAATTTCCTTGGAAACTAACTTAAAGCCCTTGGGGATCCCGTGGATTGCACATCAGATGCATCGTCACCATAATAGTCTCATGAACAGCTTCCCTCTTTCGACATAGTCTCTGGTTCGTAAGCAGTTAATGACACGCAATCGCACCGAACCCAGTGTCACTTCACACGGCCAGCCATAAAACAGGCAACGAAGCTGCCCGCCATGCTCATTCCAATTAATCGCCTACGTAACTCACTAATTACGAAGTGTTCATGATAAAATTCATGCACCATCGAAAACCAGTTCCACCATTTTTATTAACAAAATGGTTACTGTAGGTAGACAAACGCAGGACTCATTATATTTATGTGAATTAGTTGCACATAATTATTTATCAAATGTCTGTTAAATTTGTTCAATGTGAACTCGAAATTGATTACTGGCCAATAGAGTCCCAAAAACTGCCTTTTCAAGCCAGTAATTGTGAAGGACATCATAAGGTGTTGCATCATTCTTTTATTTTATTTAATTGAATGTGCTGCAAAATCACCTCGTTCGAAATCAGACCCAACTTCCAACACAGAATGGCGTGGTTAATTCAGGAGTGATCTACACGTTGAGGTCCTTATTTTAAACATCAAGAAGATCGACCTCCTGACAGCTACCTCTACTCAAGCCTATACACAGTGAGTTTGTTTGACGTGGGTGATGCGTAGCGAATGAATTAGACTATAGTTTCTACTTCGTATACTATTAATCGTTAATTTATTTCTAAAGTAAGAGCCTCGAGGTTTGATTGCTCACTGCAGTGCTCTTATGGAACTTGCAAATGACCAGACCAACATTCGGCAAATGCATATAAGCTTTCACCCAAATCGCCCGGCTCGTCAATCAGTCTGGGTCAGTATCACTCTGACTGGCGTTTAGGCGAAAAAAAACTCACCTGGATAGTCTGTGCAGTTCCAGAAAAGAAACACCGTTCTGGTTGTTTCAACCTAATGTGATTATTCGAAATTCTTGCCGAAAGCTCAATTAGAAAGACCCAGCACTTATTTTATGAATACGGCCTCATTAAGTACCTAATTTCCGTGCATGGCATTAGAAAATACCACTAATTAGGCAACCCAAGTGAAATGTTAGAAGGCCGGGGGTTGATGTATGATTGGGTCAACAAATTGATTACGCACGCAAATGCACGGAAAATGAGGCAATTAGCGGGCGATTGATGAGGTTAGTCGGGGTGGGAGTGTTTTTGAATGCCTAAAGCAAAGCCCAGATTGGTGCTACATTAAAGCTTAATTAATACTACTGCACTGATTTATGTCCTAACGGTGACTACAGGTTGCCTGCCATATTGATAAATGCCACATTTAAGGAAAACAAGAATGATAATCCAGACTTAGGCAAACTGGATAGTTTTGTCCACAAAGCCAGGCACTGATTGGGACATTTTCACGGCAGCGATCGGTTAATGTTGTTGGAAGGTAGGTAAGGGGTCCAGCACATACTTGGTGACTTTGTAACAAATAAAATTAACTCCCAGCAATTGAGGCCTTGGGTTTTTGAATAGGACTCGGATCGCGCAAATTAAGTACACTAATAATAATAGCCATGAGATCTTAGAAAAGTCGATTTATCATGGCCTAATGACTTGAACCTCACCAAAGTACTTTCATTTTCAAAGTTCCCAAATAATAATTTCTCCAAACAGGAGCTCACTAGGTTGGGACTGGATATCAATCCCTGTGACTACAAATCAGTGTGTACCTAACACACAAGATTTTTAAAAAATCAGGATGTGTAGAACGTCTACCAAAGTATATACGGCTATCTACCATAGATGAGTTCCCATTACAACTAATTCCATAACAATTTCATTTCATGCTGAGTAGTCTGATTATTTGGAAGGGAAATACTACACACTACGTACTTGATAAACAGTGATGCGGCAAGTAAAATACAGGAATGGTAAACACTCAGGTTATTCAAGGTTTGTATTCGCTTAAAGGGAATCACATTTTTATGAACTAACGTGACAAACACCCAGGATAATTTGTGGTACAATATAACAGCAAATTGATCAATGAAAATGTCCTTCGATTTCCTTTTTCCTTCAAAGTATAATTAAAATTTACTTCTCTTTTCTCATGAAAATTTTTGCTTCTCATAGCCAAGTGTGGCTTTGCGGGGTTCGGGAGGTTTGATAGTTGTGTCTTTGACCATTTAGTTTGGCTTACGTGTTTTGGTGTACGCTTTAACTCTCATTTGGAGCTCAACTTACGATTGTCTTAATCGAGTTCATTCTTTTTGACTCTGATTTTGATCAAATTTCAATGCTATATAGTTTAAAACCAGCACAACTTTTGTGTCTCCTCTACCGATTATTGACATTTCCTTTTTAATCCTACTTGCATCATCGCCTCAAGAAGTAAACGAAGAATTAGGAGAAAATTTTGCTTTTAAAACCAGTCATTCTCTTTTATTTGGGCTTCACTTGTACCAACATGATGAAAAATCAAGTGTTTCCTTTACACATTATTATTCTGGATTAATTAGGAGAGAGGGGAAGCCTTGCCGTTGCGAGTTGACCGGCGGCACCTGCGGTGGATGCGTCTGTGTGTGCACGCATGCACACACCTCATTAACGTGCACACACACACGCGCACAATTACCAATTAAACGAATGCAAGTTGCATGTGTGTGTGTGTGTGAAAGATCAAACAATTACGGCCTAACGGCATGGTAATCAGACATTAACTACAAAGGCAGCTTAATCATCACATCACCTCCTCAGGACTTAGTGATTTAACCTCCCCTCGACTTCACGTATATTAGACAAATTGACTGACAGGTCCGTGGTATAATTCAAGACTCAGTTGGATACGTTAGTCAGAAATAAGTAGGAATGCTGATTAGAAGAAGATAATGGATGCAATGATTAATGGTTATGTACTGCAATTTCTATGATAAAAAAAGATGGGATCATTAGCAAACTAAAACGTATGGATTTCAAATTATGTCAAGAGAATAAAGATTTATCATCGAGCTATGAAAAAGAGCATATTATGTAACCTAGGAAAGGAGCTAAATTTCCTTTTTAATGTATTTACTTCGGAATGAAGAATGAAGGCCATGTCCATTTTTAATTATTCGCACATCTACTGTTTCACAACACACCATTCCGTTTGCACATGATTCATTTGACTGAGATTTGGCAGCTAATTATTAATTGAGCCGACCATTGTGTGGTAGCTTAGGCACGACGTTTATACAAGTTATGGGAAGTTATAAATTCCATTCGCATTTTGTATTACGAAACATAATATATGATATTGCCATTTGAAACTGCGAGGAACAACGTCGGATATGTCTTCTGTTCGTGTTGCCAACATGCGGCAGGAACGCTAATTAACTGATGGCCCGGAATTCGGCCGGCCGCCCTCCCATGCCCCAATTACACCCGCTGACTCTCACCGGTACACTCACGAGCATACGCAATCCAATAAATTACATAATGTCAAATTACAACAAGCACACCGCCGTCGAAGTGAGCCTGGAGAAGGTATACTGGCACCAGGGCAATCATATCTGACACCAAGCTGTTGTTCGTTTACTGTCGAGGAACTGCGCACATGTGCTTGGTAGCATTGGGAGGGGAGTGGAGTGAGGAAAGGTCATCATGGGGTAATTAAGTGTGAAATGGAAGAATCGCTTTTCATAACACACAGGCCGCACTTGTACCGAAAAACACCAGTTTTATTGTAGCAATGTCTAGGTCCATAGACCGAGATCCTGATTAAAAACACAGTTGAAATACTCGCAATAGACAAATGCTGAAAGCTGCTACATATAACGTGGAACGAGTTTATGCCTTGGGTTTGACTCCATGAATGAGGCCTAAGCTGGAGTCAGTTTTATATATGTTCACATAGCCTAAGCAAACCCACCATGCTATCAAGAGCATCTGACATGCTGACATCAGCGTCATGATGTAATTTCAAATAAGTTGCTAGAAATTGAAACAAAGGTGGCACGCTGGATGTACGAACCGCTAGCTACAAACGCCGTCCATCTAAATGCCGACTTCAGACCTTATAATAAGTTTCGCATTGAAGTACCCCTTAACTTAAACACCACTCAGTTATGTGAATCCTTGAAGTGTCTTTAATTGTACTAAAAATTCGGAAAACCGCATAACTCCGTCCCTGATGATCCCTTAACATAGCAAAAAAATTATGGATTTGTGAGAGACTTTGTGGAATTCTGTGCTCAGGTGCTCTTATGACGTCAGTGCTTTCGTCTATGATAAACATTCATGTTTTGATAGTGGTGTAGAATTAATGCGTGCCTACCGAATCGAGATGTTATTAACAGGTGAACCTGAGGTTCGAATTACAAAGACCGAGGTAGCGTAGAAATGCGAGGTGAAAGACCTGAGCCGGTAAGCCGACGAAAGTGTTGTGAAGTAGCCTTAAACGCTTTTTCGGATATTCAACATGCCCCTTTAATGTCATAATAGTAATAAGAATGCCAATCCATGTACATCATGGGGGAAATAATTGATTTTTGGAGTTTTTCATCAGTTAGAAATTAAACCATCATTTACAAACCTAAGCTGAACCCTTATTGACACTTTGGACCTACTTGTATATTTGAATTGTCGCAGCGACCAGTCTGTCACCCAAGTGGCCGAGCCAACTCCAAACAGATGCGGCCAGCGGCTCTGGGATATATGGCCGGAGGGAGCGAGCGTCTGGCCATACCCCGTGTGCCTGCCCTCGACGAATCCATTCAAACGCGTGGCTTCAGGTCTCTTAGGTTGCTTGACCCAATCCCTAGTTCGACTGGGTTTATTTACCATTAAGAAGGCTAAGGCAAAACTTCCAACTGGTCGTTGTACCAAGTAAACATGTGAGAGCTAATTTTCAACAACCTGAGCTGTGTAAAATTGTACCGAGAAAGATCTAATGATACTTACTAAATCGTTTCTATAAGAAAGAAATCGACTGAAATTGGTATTCTGTTATCTTGTCCAGTTGCTCGTACCAGTTAAAAGCAGTGATTATATTTAGCGTACACAGGTGACATAGCAAACAGAGCTTCCTTGTGGCTAACAAGACTTTTAAATTGGCTACTGGCAAGCATCACATAACCTTTCCATGCGTACCTGATTACTATCATGGGGTCTAAAACGCTTTTTACATTAATCATTCAGTGTATTTTCTGTACAACCGCAAATAAATGCTAGAGTCGAGTTAACCACTTTATTTTTTAAACTAACCTAATGAAACTGCTTCAATAATCAAATAAAAGTTACAGAAAAAAGCAAAATAGTATGTGAGAAGCAGGAGTTCGTAAAACTAGTCGTTTGGTAGAAATTCTCGGTTACCGTTTGCCACCAACGAGCTTTCACAAACTTTATATGACCACCTCATGTTGGCGAAGAAGTAATAGAATTGACTGTTGTTCTTAAATTTAATTTTGCCGGCTTCCACATTTCGCTGTCTTCAGTTGATATCCTGGATAAGAACATCCTGTGTGTAAGATGGAAGGCTTTTGGATCCTGGAAAAGCCATCAAATAAGTGAAATGAGTTGAATTGGATAAATTCTGGGCTAAACTGGGGCTTGACAGAATACGTGGCAATGTTGGTATGCCAGGCGCATTAGAAAAAAGTTACAAGTGAAAAAACTACCAACGTTTTGAGAGGACATCTACGATGAACGCCTTCAATATTCTGCGCATTAAAATTTCCTGTAGTTTTAAACTTCAACTAGTGAAAATGCAAGATATTTGGAGAAAGGTAAGTTCAAGCCAAGATGCATTCTTCGTTATGGCACGAAGGAAAACTTTTGGCGCTACTTACTACATGTCCCATGGCCCAAACATGTTCAGAATTCCATAGGCCTCATTATTCAACAATTTCCTTCTGTTAGCGAAGTCGAAGGATCAATCATTCTTACTGGAATGGCATACGTGGATATTATGTAAAGGTCACAGGACCTAATTTAATTCTTGTCAATTATTGACATTTGTGGAGTGGATGCAAGGATCCAATTTTGTAAATTATTCTTGAGATGTAAAGTACCCTATTCTTATTTATATGGGTCACGGCCAACCTTCAGTGGACAATACCCAGTTGGTTAAAATGGCCATTTGACAAGGACAATACTTCAAAACGCAATTTTCCTTTCCTTTTCATTAAAAACTCATGGAGAGAGCAAAGCAAAGATCAAATCACTAATCAGATTTAAAAGAAGGACAAATGACAATTTACTCTACAAGCCATGGAACTAACACCAAACAGGAATTGGAAAAAGTTGCCGCTTTTGGGGCTACCGTTGGTTATGCTTTATCATCAAATAGAAAACGCTCTTCAGTTAGCGGCAGTGGAATCCAAAGTATAGTACGGTTAGCATCGCCGTTGTTGACAAATTCATATTTCGGATGTTCCCTTTCCTCCCCCCCCCCACTTTTCCGCATTGAAATCTAATACCCCACATTTAAACAATACGCAAGAAAGCATTGTGGTGAGTCAGTCACAGCAGCCAAATTTTTTCGAGCCTTGCGCTGACTCGACAGGGCCCATGTGGCCGTCTTCCGTGAAGTTGATCGCTGGGTTGGGAAACCAAGTCATTTTTACATTTGTGATGCATTCAGAAAGGCCTCTAGCGGTAAACATAAAAACATGGGTCTAATTTTATAAATTCGTTGACTTGAAGGAGCTAATGAAGGCTAGTACAGAATTCGTAGTAGTGTCACGCCAATGGATCGAGTTACTCACATCCCGTCTGGAGCAAATATTGTGTATCCTCTTAAAGCATGGGTTCGATCTGAGGCTTCCTTGAATTTCT